ATCGCCCAAGTGAGGGGGGNGGGGGGAAGACGTGTTTTGGAGAAACTGTGCAGCAGTAAAAGGAAAAAAACGAGAAATGGCAAAGATGGGAATTACTAGTACTTCTGCTGATGCTCAGCTGTGGCAGTGGTGAAAAAAATGATGTTCACTTGGCTGGTAAGATTCACATCCGGTGATGTTAAAAAAGATAGAGAGAAAGAGCAAGTGAAGTGAGGGGTAATTACAAAAGTAGAAAAACTGGTGGCGGCTGTGGCGGCTCTGACAAACAGGCACCGCCGAAGTGGTGAAACGCTGCCGTCTCTCTTCAGTCAGCCAATCAGTCAGTCCGTTCCTAATGCCTAAAAACAATGTTCAGCTTTAAGAGATATGCCAGAAGGGAAGGTAATTGGTGCTGAGGATGCAAAAAAGGCAGCAGCAACAGATGAGAAAGCAGATGAGAACGAAAAAAATTGAACAAAATTGTGCGTTGCGGGCAGAGTAGAGCCGACCGTCCTAAGCTCTCTCTGAACCTTTGCTGAGACAGCAGGGCACGACCAGTGGTCGAGAGAGAGAGAGAGAGAGAGAGAGAGAGAGAGAGAGAGAGAGAGAGAGAGAGCAAATGCCTGTGAGTTGCACTCTGGCGGCAGGAAAACGACGGCCTGGTGGTGGCCTCGTAGTAGCGGCGGTCCTCTTCTTTTGCTGCTGCTGCTGCTGGCACTACTATCACCACCACCGTCGTCGTCGTGGTATTAGCAGAGCGGCAACAATTCTCACACAAAGTTATTGCCTCCTCTTCTTCTTCTTCTTTCCATTCTTCTTCTTCTTCCTCCTCTGCCTGACAGCCCCCCTCACATTCATTTTCTCACCTCACTGGTCAGCTACGACTGCTGCTGCTGCTGCTGTTGCCGCTGCCGCTGCCGACGTTTGCCCTGCAGCACTGGTCAGCACTCTGCAGGTTTTGCTCTATGTTCAATTTGCTCGCCAATTGATAGAAAGCAAGAGAGAAAAAGAGAGAGAGCACTGAAGAAGAAGAAGAGACCATGGCTGGTGTGTGAGCAGAGGAGGGGGTATTGCTGCGATCGTTGCCACCACCACCACCACCACCACTACGACTACCACGACGACTATCAGCAAACAGACTGCAGCAGCAGCAGCAGCAACAAGCTCTAAGGTGTATTTCCACACTAAATCACTGCTGTGATTTTTCCTTCTCTTTCTTCTTCTTCTTCTTCCACTCTAGCTCTAATAATATTTTTTGCAGTTTTTGTCCATTTCTAACCTCACCAGCTCTCTCAAGCAGGAGTAGCAGTAGCAGCAGCAGCAAAGGACAAAACTGAGACAGCAAATGCTACAGGCATTGAAGTCGCTGGCCGTAGAGAAGAAGAAAGTTGAAGCTCAAAAGATCGAAGGTCAAGGCGATAGATTTTCTCTTTCTAGTTCTCTTTCTCTGCTCTTTTTCTTTTTGATGAATGCACCCAGAGGTCGTTGCGCTGCGCTGAGTTACTCTCTGATCCTCTCTTTTTGTCCACTTCTTTTTTTCATTTCCTCTCTCTCTCTCTCTCTCTCTGCAGCTTTTCTAAACTAAAAATAGCTCTGAGAGTGAGCTTTTAATTTCACCCTAGCAAAAGAGAAAAATGGCCCAAACGATCGACACTGGAGCCACCACCAGTCAGACACCATCTGTTACTGGTTTCCTTTTATTTTTTCAATGTCACCTAGTCCCTCTAGTCCCCTTAGTTTCCTAACTCACCTTACCTGTAACTGAGTTTTCTGCATTCTAAACAGCGATTTTTGTTATTTGTTTGTTTGAAGTGCCTTACCCCAAGCTAAGTAGTAGGTAAGTGCACAGGGAGGAAAAAGTGGAGAAAATAAAAGAAGGTCCTCACTGGTTAAAGGTCAACTATGCGTGACCGTGAGTTTTACCCCCTCTTCTTTTTTCTTCTCTTTTTTCTCAGTTATTTGCTCACTTTGCTTTTATGGTCTTGCCCTCATTTCCCCTCTCCCTCTCCCTTTCAAAGTCCTTTTTTATTATCTTCTCTCTACACTTTTTCCTGTCCAAGTATTGTATTACACAGTGTCGCCTGTGCTTGTCTCTTGTGGTCAGCGGCTGAAAAGTGAGACAAGGGAAAAGTAAGATTCCGGCTAAATCGGAGGAAACATTCGATGCAGAAGCAACAGCTTTTTTTTGACCGATAGTGAGTGAGTGAAGTCACTAACAAACGAGGACACTAGCCAGTCCGCAGTTTTTTTATTATCGGAAACACAAATCTTGCGACACTGCTCGCTTTCTTTTGCTTTTTATCGCCATGCCGAATCATTTTACTGCCAATGTCACAGTCAAACTTTTTCTCCTGTTTTTAATTGTAACTTTATTTATACTTTCTTTTTTTTTCTCACTCTCTCTCTTTTATTACATCAAGTGCAGGTGACAAAAAAGTAGTTAATGTGTGTGTGTAACTAGTAGTAATAATAATACTAGGGAATAGTAGAAAGAGGAGGGAGGAAAATAATGAATGAGACAAAAACAGAAAAATAAAAAACAAATGAAGAAAGTGAAGACAAAATTAAGCGCAAAAATTATTATAATTGAAACATGCAAAACATAAGGGTCAAATGATGAGAAACTAGTGAGGATGACAAAAACAAAGCAAAAAAATGTTAATAAAAAAAGAGCGTTTTAGAGAAGACAAAGGTTTTTTCGGTTGCAAAAATATAAAGTGTTCTCTGACCTTTACTTTAAAACTTTATGTCAAAAAGAGAAAAAAGAGGACTGATAAATTCCAATGATGAGGGACTAATAATACTTTTTCACCGTTCAACACATGGTTGATGATAATGGGAGGGGAAAACACAAACAAACAAACAAACAAACAAGCAAAACTTTATATATTAGCCGCTTTCAGCAGAGGCAGCAGCAGCAGCCGCGGCCGCCGCCGCCGAGGTGGTAGTGGCATTCAACCAGCGAATGACCCGCTCCTCAACGTGCCCCTTCCAGTAGATGTTGGCGCGAATCTTCTCCATCGACTGGCGCACCGCCTGCCGGCCGCTCGCCACACTAACCCGACTGAAGAACTCCTTCACGTCGGCGTACTCGTACTCGGTGCTGAAGTGCCAGGTCGCTTCGCTGATGATGGCGTCCAGGCTGAAGGACCCGCCGCCGAAGGTGGCCAGAATAGTGGCCCAGTGGGCCTTGATGAACTGCCAGGCCATCAGGCGGCCATTGGGGTTCCGTGCCACGTTCTGTATCGCGTAGGGCGTGTCCTGGGTGCGCACCAGCGACCGGTTGAGCGCCGCCTCCAGGTAGCTGGAGAGGAGGTAGTGGTTGCGGGTGCTGCCGAGGGCGCCCAGCAGGAGGCGCTTCTCGCTGGCGTCCGCCGCCCCCAGATAGGCCTCCCAGACGGCCGTCCACTCGCGGTCGCCGCCGTACTGCGTGCCGGCGTGGTAGACGATGTCGCGGATGTTGGCCGGCGGCTTCCGCCCGCTGGACAGCCACCTACTGAACTCGGCCCTCGCCCGGCTGATCGCCCCCTGGTCGCCGAAGTAGACCGCCGAACGGAGGACGATGGAGCGGAGCTTCTTCTCGAAGAGGGAATCCGCCCTTCGCTCCGTCCAGCCGAGCCGCTCCACCAGGCGGCCCATCAGTCGGAGGGCGTACCGGTGCAGGGCGGGGTGCTGCAGCATCAGCGTGTCGAGGATGCCCAGGTGGTTGAGGACGGTCTCCCAGGGGACGTAGTCCTGTTCGCCCGTTTCTAGGCAAGCAAAAGAAGAAAGGGGTGTGTTTTTGTTAGAAACTAACAAATAGGAGGAAGAGTTTTACCGAGGTATCGCGTCAGGTCGAGCGCCGTATTGACATCCAAGTGGCCGATGCGCATCAGCGAGAGGGCGTCATCGAGGAGGCCGGCTCGGTCGGCGGCCGACAGAAAATGGCCATCCGGCGGCGAGTTGACCAGCTGGCGGATTAGGTCTCGCCAAACGGCCGTCTCGTAGTTGACCCGGTAGAAGCCACTCTGCTGGTGGTTCAACTTGAACCAGCCCGACCTGCCGGCGGTCTTTTCATTGCGCTCCAGCGGAATGGCCAGGCTGTCCGATTGGAGCCAGAAAAGCGTAGATTTAGCGGGCGATTGGCCGCTGATTATCGTCAGCGGGACGATCCACTGCTGAAAGAGGGAGTTGTTCTTCTTTCGGTTGTTTCTATTGCTGCTGCCGTTGTTTGCAGTTGCCAGCTGTCGCTCGAACTCCTCCGGGCTGACGCTGGAGACGAAACGCCGCTGGCTGACCAAAATGGCTCGCCCATCTTCAGACCAGCGGGCACAGATCACCGGGTAGCCCTGCTGCAGGATCCAGGTGTCCATGATGGTGGAGACGTTGATGGGCAGTGTGGAGGAGACCTGGACCGGAAATGGGGTCCATTTAAGATACTAAATTTTATCTTGTGTTTTAACAGTTACCTCCGACATGGACTCCCACAGCTGCTTGGTGGTGGCGGTGCTGTACTTGTAGCGGTTGAGGTACTTCTCCAGGCCCAGTTGCAGGTTTTCCTTGCCCATAAAGTCCTCGATCATGCGAATCAGACAGGCGCCCTAGTGAATAGAAAGTCTCATATAAAACATTTTTTTAATGCAAAAAACACTTCTTTTTACCTTTTTGTAGGAGATCATATCGAAGATGGCCTCAATCTCCGAGGGATTGGCCACCGTGGTGTGAATGGGGTGTGAGGTGAAGAGCGAGTCAATGGAGAGGGCCAGCTGCGTCGTCGAGATGACGAACTGATCCAGCATGCGCCACTCCGGGTGAATATTGTCCACGCCCAGGTTTTCCACGTACGACGCGAAGCCCTCTGGTGTACAAAGCAAAAAATGTTAATTTTTAAATTAAACCCATTTCTAAATTTACCATTCAACCAGAGCTCACTCCACCAGTTCATGGTGACCAGGTTGCCGAACCACTGATGGGCGATTTCGTGGGCTGTTTAGTTAGCGAGAAAAAAATGTCACAAAAAACGGAAAAACAAAAAAGCTTTTTCACTCACAAATGACCGTGGCGACCTGCTCCTGCATCTCCGAACTCGACTCCCGCTCATTGTACAGCAGGGTGGTCGTGCGGAAGGTGATGATGCCCCAGTTCTCCATGGCCCCAGCGCTGAAGTCCGGCACGGCCACCATGTCCAGCTTCCGCAGGGGGTAGTCCACCTTGAAGAACTTCTGAAAGAAGGTGATCACCTTGCTGCCGAACTGCAGGGCGTAGGCGGTGTGGGCGTTCTGCTCCTCGGGCACCACAGTGCGCACCACAATGCCACCGGTGCTGCTGTCGTCGTTCTTCACCGAGCTGACGGCAAAGTCGCAGACGACGAAGGCGACCAGGTAGGTGGACATCGGCACGGTGGTCTCCGAGGTGGAGAGCGTCTTCAGGTGGCCACCTTCCAGCTGCACCGTTTGCGTGTCCACTATTTCAGTGTTGAAGAAGACGGTGTAGTTGGGCTGGTGGAGCAGTCGCAGGCGGAAAGTGGCCTTCATCGCCGGCTCATCGAAGCAGGGAAAGGCGGTCCGAGCGAGGGTCGGCTCGAAATGGGTCGTCAGAAGGTACTGTTTCCCCTTTCGCCCTGAATGGCTGTACGAGCTGACGTAGAAGCCCTCCAGCTCGTCCTCCATGGTGCGGGCAAACTCCAGCGAAAGCAGGTACACATTGCCCGAGCTGAGATTTCGCCCCAGTTCAATGTACAGCTGCTCCAGGCGGGTGCACTCGAGGACGCGGCGGACGGGAATCGGCTGTACCTCTCGGGAGTTCAGGCTGGAGGTGAGGTTGAGGTGGCCGCCTAGTCGGGTGACGGAGACCTTGCTGATGTTCAGTTTCTTACTGTGCAGAACGATGAAGGAGGCGGTGGCGGTGGTGATCTCGAATTCGATGCTGACGTTGCCGCGGTTGATGAAGGTGGGGTGAGGTTCAGAGGAGGGTGAGGGTGATGATGAGGGTGATGATGAGGGTGGGTGAATGCTGCTTGAATGATTATGGGTGTGACCATTGAAGACCATTGAAGGGCTGAGGAAAAGCTCGTAGCTTTTAGGGTGCAGGTAGCTGGGCAGGCGGATCGCCTGCCAAGGGAAGTGGGCGCCGTCAGTGTCCAGATAGGGCAGGGGCGACTCGGTTGCCTCATTAGTATCATTAAAAAGAATGTCAATGGAGGAGGGCGTGCTTGAGGGAAAAGAGGAGGAGGAGTCTGCTGAGGGTGATGAGGGTGATGAGGAGGACTTGTGACCACCACCAAGGGCGGCCCCAAACGAGGGAATCAGATGAGTGAGCCACGACGNTCTGCTGAGGGTGATGAGGGTGATGAGGAGGACTTGTGACCACCACCAAGGGCGGCCCCAAACGAGGGAATCAGATGAGTGAGCCACGACGACTGGCCGCCTGGGGAGTGGCCCGAAAAAAAGGTTAGACCTACTTTTTTTGTTGAGAGGTAAAACTCTCCTAAAAAAGAGTACTTACAAGTATTGGTGAGCACGTGGACTACCTCGAGGAGGACCGCCGCCAGAAGGAGGAGGAGGATGGCCAGGGCGAGTCGTTTGAGACACTTCTGATAAGGTCCATTTCCATTTCGGCCACTGCAGCAGGCCATTATCGTCTGGCTGCCGCTGCTGCTGCTGCTTCTTCTTCGTCGATTCAGTCGATTGTTCCGTCGATTAGCACCACTACCACCACCGATTGATGAATTGGGCGGAAGAGGAGGAGGAGGAGGAGGAGGGGGCGTCACCACCTGCTGGTCCTCATCGTCAGCCGTCGGACGGTAGATGACGCGGTCGGTGCAGGCGATGGTGCGCTCCGTCTCCACGGCGATGCACGAGGAGAAGAGGCTTTGCCAGAAAGAGGAGGAAGATCGGGAAGCGACGCCTCGACGGGAATAAACCTGAACCTGTGGCTGGGCTCGAGTGGGAAGTAAAATGGACGATGATTGAGATTGAGATTGCTGTGTATGATGGTTGTTTTGGATTTGGTTGTTTTGGTTGGGATTTTCAATTAAATTTTGGTTTTGACGAAGGTGAAGATGCTTCGGCACTGTCGGGGGAGGTTGCTTTGAAGGGCGAGAAGTGGGCGAGGCGATGCGAACGCCGCTTGAGGTGATGGGAAGCTCGGCAGCTGCCAGCTGATTGCTATGAAGATTGTTGGGAGTAGGTGAGGAGGAGGAAGAGAAGGAAGAGGAGTTGATGCCTGACAGCAGCTGATTGGCGTCGGCAATGGTCGGCATCAGACCTAGTTGGGGGAGAAAAAGAGGTGTTGCAAAAAAGGAAGTTGTTAAATTCCAACAAGTGAACTCTCTACCTGAGGAAATGTTGCTGCCTGGTTGAGATCGAGTGAAGCCGTCACCGGAAAATAAGTTTGCCTGCAGAGGGTGATTTTGAGAGAGTTGCTCAGCAGTGAGTGACTGTTGATAAGGTGTGTTTTGCTGATGCTGCTGATGCTGATGACGCCCAGCCGACCCAAGGTCGGACCTTGCTGCCATTTGCTGATCGTTTGCTTCTGCAGACAAAATTACATTAGTTAATTGGGTATTTTTCTTCTCGATCTTTAAAAAACTAAAAAGTCTGATTAAATTACCTGGCAAAAAAGCCACACTTTCGATGTCCATCGCTGTGTGCATTTTCGGTGATTGTGGTAATAGTGGTTTACGGTGATTTGTTTGGTAGATATTTGTTGGTAAGTAGAATGAAAAAGTACCCGTTAAGGAGGAAATGTAGCAAGAAAAGAAAGGTAGGAAAAAGGTAGGAAAAAGAGAAAAGAAGAAAAAAAAGCGTGAGTAGAAAGCAGAAAAAAGCAGATAAAGATAAATGTCAAATCATCAAAACAAAAAGGGAAATTTTGTAGCTCATTGCTACTGAAAAAATTGCATCTGTTGCTACAGTTTGGTGTGGTACATGTGCTGTTTAAATTAAAATGAGTGTTTGTGTGTGCATATGTGGTAGTTTGGTAGTCACCGAGATGATTGTGCCATGATGATGATGGTAAAGATGAAAAACTTTTTGCTTGCTAAAAATTATTTGATTTGTGCAGCTTTTTTTGGCAGTCTAACTTGACTTGCTTCTTAATCAAAGCGGATGATGATGATGATGATGAATAGGCGAGCAACAAAATGTGGTAAACAAAAAATGAAAAATTAGCTGTCGATGACCACCACTGCTGCTGCTGCTGATTGCACTGATTTGCTACAGTCCAGCTAGTTGGCAGATAACTGCAATTTAGCTGATTTTATTTAACGACCACTACCCAAAGGGCGACAACGGAAAAAACGGGAGAAACCATTGGCCATTTCCGAGTAAAATGAAACAGAAAAAAGGAAAAACGAAAAGTACTATCGATAAGGCAATTGAACTTTTGATTTTGATTTCAGCTTTTTTCCATTTCTGGTGTGTTTTCAAAAAAAAATTTGCAAAAATGACGGTGATGAAAAGTGACGTTGCTGGCCAGCAGCAGCAGACACACTTGCACAGACGTTCACAAATTCAAACATAAAAAATCGTTTTTTCTCGCTGACAACTAACTGCACTGAGTTTCACTTTTTGCAGTCATGCAGCTAGACAGTTTAAATAAACATAAAGAAGAAAAAGATGAGGAAAGTGAAACAGATCAAACAGGCAAAAAGATCACTGCCAAATTAGCGGCGGCGGCGGCGGTAATGGCAAAGACATCTGTGGCAGTTGTATCTGTTGCCACTGTTGATTTTCTGCTCCTGTTCACAGCAGCAAAAAGGGAAGTTGCATTTTTATTTAGTGGGTAATGCCTTTCTACTTCTTCTTCTTCTTTTCCTTTTTCTTTCTTAGACACTTTTTTCCTCCGAAATCGTAAAGCTGAGATGCTGGCTTTCTCTGTTGCTGCTGCTGCTGCTGCTGTTTCTACTCTCAATGAACAGAAACGGAAAGCCGTCTGGGAAATACACACACACACACACAAACACACAGACACACAAAAGCAGTCACAAAGAAAGCACAATCTGCTCAAAAGGAGAAAAAGTAACAGCAGACAGCCAAGGGTAATGAGGAAATGGTGGCACTGGTGGTAATTGTTAATTGGTAACAACGGAAAGCTAACTTTGTGTTGCACTACTAGTTCTTCGGTGAGTTCTTGGGCTTTGTTCTTTTGTTTGTTCTGCTGTTGTTATTGGTGCAACAGAATAGGACAGAATAGGACAGAATATAACAGAACAGGACAAAAAACAGGCGTCAGCGACGGTGATCGGCAGCCAAATGACTGCCAACTGCTGCTGCCCACTGAATCTTATGGTCCAGGAGAATGAGAATGAAAGTACAGACTGCTTCACTTTACTTCACTTTCATTTGGCGCCCATTCCCTTTCCTTCTTTCCCTCTTTCCTTCTGGTGCAAACTACAGACAGTCAGGCAGACGATGATGTGTGCAGTAGTGTAGGATGACACACGTTACGTCAGACGAGACGACGACAAGCAGCAGCTACAGTAGCTTCTGGTACTTCTTGGCGCTGCTGCTGCTGCTAATGTCGGCTAATGGGCGCGCACGGCTGAACTATCAAGAGTTGCTGGTCAAAGTTGCCCGAAACTTGAGGAGAAGAAAGAGGAAGAGGAGGCAGCAGACAGACACACTGTGAGGCTTTTAGTGGTGGTGAGGAGGAGGCAGAGTTGGTGGTAAGTGCTGCTGCTGCTGAAGAAGATGTAATAAGTGAAGATGGACAGTTGCACACACACACACAGTGGCAGACATTGCAGACAAATTGCTGCCAGTCATCGGAGATGATGATGAGCTGATGCTGCTGCTGCTGCTGTTGCAGCTGCAACTGTAAGTGTAAGTGTAAGTGTGTGTGTGTTTGCGTAATTCAATTAGTCTCAATCAAGACAAATTCAGATGGGTGAAAGTGGGAGAGAAAAAATGGGAAAAGAGAAAAGGAGAGCAAGGCAAATGAGGGGGAGAGGGAGAGAGAGAAGCGGACAAAACTTTGGCGCTTGATTGTTTCACACATACTGAAACTGATGATGGGCAATAACGAGAGCTTGTGATGTCTTCTTTTTCTTCCGTTTGCTGGGCTGCTGCTGCTGTTTTTTGTTTTACAAAGTTGTGCCAAATGTCACAGCTTTGTTTGTCAGCAGCATCGGCAGCACAATGCACACACACACACACACACACACACACACTTCAAAACACACACGTAAGTTTTGGTGACACAGCAACAGCTGCCGAGAAGACAAGAAAGTTTGTAAGATCTTTTGACTTCTTTCTTTTCTTTTACTTCTTTTACTCTGTGTGTTCTACGGGTGCTGCTGATTATTATTACAATTATATCGTATAAGAGCGGCGGCATTAGAAGCCAGCAACACACTACTGCACTTCACCTTTAGTTTCACAACTCAATAGTTTGTTACCTCAAGTTTTGGCGCCTAAATTGTTGTTGTATGTTTCACCTCCCTCTACTCATTTTTTGCATTCCTTCTTTATTCATCTTTGTTTTGGGCTCACTTTTACTCCTTTCCTTTTTATCAGCCCTTTTTATCAGCCTGTTTTTTCGGCTACTTTTTGAAGACAGGCAGACAGACAGGCAGACTGTTTGGTTTAGCAGCTTCTGTCAAAGCTTCTGTCTTAATCACACACACACACACTGGATGGATGACATGTGCGCTGGTGCTAAACTGACT